GGTACCGGGATTGAACTCAGGGACATTCAACCACTGAGCCACATCCCCAGCCGTATTTTGTATTTTATTGAGAGACAGGGTCTCACTGAGTTGCTTAGCATCTTGTTGTTTGCTGAGGCTTATAACTTGTGATCCTCCTGCCTCAGCCTCCCAAGCCACTGGGATTATAGCCGTGTGACACTGTGCCTGGCTGCAGGTAGCTTTTTGAAGCTGGGAAAGGTAGGTAAGTGGATTCTCCTTTTAGAACCTCAGTAAAAAGAACACAGCCCTGATGACTCATTTTTCGACTCCTGACCCCCCAGAACTGTCAGTTATTTGAGTTGTTTTAAGCGACCAAGTTTGTGGAGTTTGTTGCAGCAACCACAGGAAACCAAAGCAGGATCAAGATCCTTGAGAACGGCTGCTATGACATTTAGATAGGCGGTACTCAGAGCCCAGAAAACAAAACGCAACGAAAGAGAGACGAAGCTTCCATGCTTTAAAAACAGGTGCTCAGTGCCAGCAGCACCTGGGAACTTGTGGGTCCAGTCCTCTCAGGCTCCCCTGGCACTGTGGGATCATAAGCTTTGGCAATGGGTCCTGGTGACAGGCCCCTCCCTGGGTTCTGCTGCACACTACGGTTCCCTGTAGAACGATGTGAGAGGGGCTTCTTGGTGGATGGAGAGTACCTGTGGACTCTCTGTGTTTGTATTCATGCATGTGCATGTGTGTGTGCACACGTGCGTGCATGTGTGTGTGCACGAGTGCGTGCGTGCGTGCGTGCGTGCGTGCGTGTGTGTGTGTGTCTTGGGTGCATCCGCTCCCATTGGATGCATAATTACAATGATTATTTCATAACTTAAGCTTGGGTTGGAATCTTGGGAGGATGGGGGCCGAGTGATTCTCCCAAAGATGGGCTCTGTGGGAAGAGGGAGAGCCCAGAATTCAGCTTCCATGTGCTCACAGTCCCTGCCTCTTCAGGCTGTGCTGGTGTGAATCAGAGTGGATCCTGGTGACTGCCCGCACTATCCCCTTACTTGTCCCAGCCCGGGGCTTCCTCTCAACTTTCCCCTTTCTCTGTTTGCCTGAGGCAATCCTAAACTGGCTAGGTGGGAAGATAAAGTACTCACTTTCAAAATGCCAGTGACCCTGTAAAGGTTGAAATCACACAGACATTGACTCCTGGATGTGTGTCTTATTAGCTGGGTGATGGTGGGTGCTTAGTTTCTGAGTCTCTGTGTATTTATCTGTAAAATGGGCACGCTGAAAACATGCCCTGCTAGAGGCACTGGGAAGACTAAATGAGGTCAAGTATGTGAAAGTCCTTTTGTCAAGGGCCCAGAGCAAAGGAAAAGCTTAACACTGTGGTTCTTATGTAATGAATTATAATTAATATCTATTGTCATTTAT